AACGGAACATTGTATACAGAAAATTGAAAAACATCATAGCGAAAATGATATAAAGAAAATCACAATAAACAAGAAACAAAATATAAACTTTTTGCTTGAATTGAACGGCATCAGATCTGAACTTGGTCGCGAGGCGTTTTGCATCGTTGGTTTTGTCGGAATGACGAGATCCGAAATATGCACTTGTAACCGTGCTTCCCATCGACGTTGTTTGATTTCCGTGTTGGATTCAAGGCGGTTATGGAGGAGCGACGACGAGGGCGGCGTCGTCGTCGTAGGAGCCGGTTGTGGAGGAGAACGACGATGTCAAAGCCTTAGGCCGACGCTATGGAAGAAGTGGGGGCGGCGGCGGCACAGAGGTGGAAGGGGACGGAGGTGGCGGCTGTAGAGAGAAAAGGAGAAGAGAAAGAGAAGAAACGTGAAATAGGATTTTATTTTACATATCACAAATTTAAAGAGATTTAATTACTTATGGATATATTAGTCATCTCAACTCCAATTTTAATTAAAAAAAAGATTTTTTTAATAAATAGAGGGTCTAACTAATAACGAAAATAGAATTATATGCACCTTAATATAAGTAAATAATTTGGGGGGTTTCACTAATTATCCAAAAAAAACACTAAAAAAAATCAACGCTGGAATCCGGCGGTGGAAAAAACAGCCAAAAAAAAAATCCGGAATCGGCGGCGGAATAACAGACTAGAGAAGAGAAAATCGAAAAGTCAACGCCGGAAACCGACGGCAAAAACTAATTTTATAAAAAAAAAGTTGTTGAAAAGAAAGTCAAAAGTGGATTTTTATGGTCAAATGGATTAAATTGGGGTTACAATTAAGAATTTGATGTACAGGGTTGAGGGTAATTTTGTCATATACATGAATTTGTTCTTTATTTATAATAAAAATTAAAAGGATGAATATATATATATAGAGATATATATCCCCTAACTAGGGACTTATGCACAAAAATGTATATATATCTTTGTTATATATATATATATATATATATATATATATATATATATATATATATATATATATATATATATATATATATATATATATATATATATATATATATATATATATATATATATATATATATATATATATATATATATATATATATATATACCAAAATTACCCCAAACTCCTTGAAATTGTAATTCAACTCTAATGTTATGATTTAGACCCCAATTTAGCACAATCTCACAAATTAACCAATTTTGACACCCACCGTCAAAGACCACCGGTGAACTGTCGTTGACCGCCGGTCTCTAGCGTTGACTTCTTTTTTTTTTATTTTTTGAATATTTTGTTTTAAAAGAAATTATTTTCATTAATATTACAGTCTCGGAGATAGTAATACTAATGTCAGAGACAATAATTTTACCGTATTAATTATTTTACTA